GTAGAGTGAGCATCATTTTACGGCTCATGAAATTAGGGGAAGAAACGCGTTCTGATAAGGACAAGATAGGACAGCGCTGTGCACGAGTTGACCCCGGTCAATCCCCGACCTGACGCGTGAAATTGCAGGTCACCTGCCGCTAATTTATGGCCTACTGCGGGGGGCCCGGACTTACTAAAAGATCGCTGAGACGGAATTTCGGACGCCGTGATTGAGTCAAGTACACTGTAGGGTAGGACTGTACATATATAGGCTTAGTTAGGCCAAGCCTACTGTACAGTAGAATTTGATTTTCAAAATTCAAAGACAAAGTGAAAATGTATTTGTTGAATAAAAAAGATAAATGTATTCAACAAACTAAAGGCCCGGTTAGACGTAACGATAAATTGTACAATAACTGGACGATCTAGTGATCATGCGATAAATCGTTAGGTGTAACCACAAAAATTGTACAAAATTTGGACTATTGAACGATGGTTTAGAGACTCATTCGAGAAATTAAGCGCTGCTTGATATTTTCCGTGAGGTCACGTTCAGATTTGAGGGAGACGCACTGTGACATAGATTCACTTTGAAATTTGCCACCGCTCGGAATTAAACTCAGGACTCAAAATTTTTTTAAATAATTACCGTACGTAAAAACTGATTTCATAATCGGAAACAGTGTCTCAAAAGAAGCAAAGTTGCTCACGGTGAACCTGATTTGGAGCGTCATTTTTTACTTTAGCAATTTTATTTAGTTGATCGTCATTACTGTGAAGCTGTACATCAAGGTCACTCCGTGCGTCGCGCATCTGCAGTCAAGTCAAAGCTTCCGGTTCTACACACAAAACGGTAGGCCTACAGTATGGCCACCCTTTTCTAAAGACACTGTTCTGCTATACAAAATGTACAGGGAAAAGGGGGGGGGGGGCTTCTGTGATCTAGAGATAGTGTTCGCCTTTCATTCATTAGGTCCAGAGCTCGAAACCTTCACATAGAGTGCAGGCAAATCACTGTCGTCGCAAAGAGACATGGTGGCTTTATGACGAGGAATCTCCTCAGTGGATAGAAAACTGGACGATAGATTGGAACGTGTAAACAGGCAGCACACAGTTTGATAAAACGGACAGTTCTCTCATTCATAAAGTAAAGACCAATCTGATACTAGAGTCTAGAAATCTATTTATCGTTACCGGTAACCGGGCCTTTAAGCTGAAGTCTCTCAACAGGAACATAGCATGAATGATCATGATGTGATTATTGTAATTGGGTACTGTAATTGTAAGTGTAACAACGGCAACAACTCGCACCTAAATCAACACCAGCACTTATAAACGCAGGATCCTCGTTTTTTGGATGAGGTTCTTCCATCTTTATCCAGACAGAAACGTAGGCGACAAACTAAAAATAAAGCATATATTTTACAGCTTTTAACATTTCAAACAATACTGGCTGTGGTCACAAGAGGGTAACGACGCCCGTTGTTTTCTTTGATGATGCACTCTTTCACTTTCGATTTAGATTTTGGCTGTCGTCTGCCTTCTGCACGTCATCATAGACAACACGATAGGCTATTTAACTTCTACCGAGAAGAGCGCTGATTTGTCGGACACGGACGATATCGAAAACTGAAACTGCAATAATATTTTATTAGATCTACATCATTATTCTTCACTGCCTTCCACAGTGATAAGGCTTTTCTTCCATTACACCATTGTTACCCAGCTTTATGAATTCTGTCAACTGTAACTTGCAATTCTATTTTTACAAAAGTGAATAAAACATCTTGATAAGATCTTGGGCCTCGTGGAGACTGGGACTCTGGCGGAAGTGGCAAAGAAGTGAGAAAAGGGGTCAAGGGGACACAACCGTAGATAATAAAGAGGATAATAGTACCTTGTGAATGGCTTCCCTTATTTAAAGTTCGTTAGCATGACGTTTACTGCCAGGTATCATTTAAAATCATCATGATAAATCAATTAGTAGAACCAGTGATTAGATGAAGTGTCTAATAAAGACCGATAGCTGAAAGACTGTGGGTAACTCCCTCTACAACATTAGGAGGGGGGTAAGGCAAGGGGTCCACAATAATTATTAATGTTGGGAGGTTGTTTTGTTTTGAGAATTATAGCATTGATTATTAACAATCTGTTCTCAATGTATTTATTTATTTATTTTTTATTTTTTCT